AAATAACCCCTAACCATATGCCTCCAACTGTCAACTACCCACTGCCTTATAAAGTACTGTTCCCGAGAGGACTGGATCCTCCGGGAGAAGGAAATATTAAGAGCAGATAGTTGTTGGTTCACAGATGAATCAATCAAAAACACCTTCCGTTTCTGGTGCAGGAGTTTTTAGTCGCAGACCCAGGACAGATATATCTACCTGCCTAGGAAGTTATACAACTGTATTTCAAGTGGAAATTTACGCTATTGAATTGTGTGCGGAGAAATTGTAAGAATCCAACCTCATACACAAGTCAATAAAAATATTCTTGGACAGTCAAGCGGCGTTGAAAGCTCTTGGCTCCTACCAAGCAACGACTAAATTGGTAGGAAATTGCCAAAAACGAATCTCCTCGATAGGAAAACTGAACAGATTGTCTCTGATCTGGATTCCTGGCCATACTGGCCTGGAAGGCAATGAAGCTGCTGACTCTCTTGCAGAGGAGGGTGCTGCAAGCGGCTTCGTCGGACCAGAACCTGTCATTGGCATCGCTTTGGGCTTTGCCAAACAAACACTGAACACCTGGATGGCAAGAAAAGTTATAGACTTCTGGCAGAATCTTCCAGGATTGGCTCACTCCAAGGCGTCTATTCCCCCTTTGAAGCTTGATACCAAACAGTTGTTGGACTACAGTAGGGATGAACTACGATGTCTAACAGGCCTTCTTACGGATCACTGTCATTTGAATCATCATATGCAGATACTCGCAATGTCGGAAGACAGATGAGCCCCGAAGTGGACGACTCACAGTGAACGAAGACGAGGATACCATCGAGGATAGCTACTATCATTTTTTTAGGCAAAAAACGGTCTTAGTCGAGTTCCTCTAATCTCGAGCACACAATTTCCTTGCTGTATTACATTGGCAATAGTGCACTGATTCAAATGGCGCTTATTTCAATTGAATCAAATAAGTTTAAAGTAGACTCATAAAAATGGACCATACTTCAAAAACAACTTAATATATCAATTCAAAAGGCCTTCTTGAAACGACTACTTTCATATGAGCTAATCTCTCCTAAAAATAAACCCCTTCCAATGGGGAATATTCCTCAATTTGGGTTATTACACCAAATGCAAGTTTGAACAAAATAAAGTTGAGTTTAATTCATGAGTTTTTCAAATTTACTTCGAAAAGTATTCAAATTGATGTTTCAAATGTTGGGTTTTAATTTTTAAATGGATTTGTTTCTAATTCACAAACTTGATTTTCGTCAGGAGAAACATATTCTTTATAACGCAACTTCATTTTAATTATTGGTAAAAATATTATTGTACATAAACATTAAAAAATATGAACTTTCTTTCTTCACAGCCAGTCTATGATTTTGGTTTGTAATTCGTTTATTTGTTGACAGGTTTCTTTGTCCTATATTCAATTGTAATAACCACCTGATTCCTCTTCTCAGAAGTATAGGTATATATTGCGTTTGTGGCAATTAATAGCTTACATAATATGGAACATGATATACAGTTGCGAGTTATTAATAAATGGACTTCTCTCATTCATTGCAATTCCGTTAGCAAAATTAGTAAACAGCTCTCAGGTGTTTTTAGTTCACTGATTCTGATTCTGCAAAACACACAGTTGCGAAATGAATCACCACTGATTTTGAACAATGATTGACCTTGCGTTTTCAATAACAAAGGATAATTCAATAATACCAACTGGATTTCCACAAAGGGAAGCAAATGAGAATTCTCCCCTGGAAATATTTATAATATCCCAGTCATATGTACCGTGTGACAATATGAATTCTAACAATAAGGTTTGAGTCTAGAAGAGGAGAGGATATTAAAAAAGTCGAAGGGCATATATTTTTAGTGCTCTCGCCAAGCCTTGATCCAAAACATTCTCTTTACCGAAAACATAAAAAAACTAATAGGGTTACTCGAAAGAATTGCATGTTAATTTGTTAACGTCACACTGGTTTATTGTTAGTACCAACGACATAATAGTACCGCTTTATAGCCCAGGTAGTTCATTGAGATGAAAAACAGTTTTTGATTACTCTACTTTAAACCTTCATAAATAAAATTAAGAAACATGAAATTAAAGTATTCATTGTTTGAATATCCACAGTATTAAAACAAATGGTTTGATGTTTCCTTGTTTATTAGCCATGGATTGCAGGTTTTTATACCTGATGTTTCGTCCGCTACTGCGGCAGAAATTATCAAAGGCGATGCGTTGACGCATCGCCTTTGATACTGTCTGCCACAGTAGCAGACGAAACGTCAAGTATAAAAACCTGCAAGTCAGGTCGCTATTGAATCAAATATTGATTTTGTGAACTTGAAACCTTGAATCGATTCAAACACAACATTAAACAGGAAGCGAGTGGAGCTTTGAAACTGAAGAAATATGTCAAATGTTTTGTTGGACAAAATTCCATTTTATCTTTGATCTCTTCACTTTCTGTAATAGCATCATATTTTTAACGATATTATCGTCATGCACACACACCAAGCAGCAATATACCACTGACTCATTGCAATGAATCATGTTAACTAATAATGTTTGTTAATACAGAGCTGCGGGTGAAATATTTAAATTTGTTTTGAGGAGTATTTGGGAAAAGGATTGTCAATATTCTGCCCTCTAAAGTATTTTCAAAGTTTTGTTTTCACTGTATATTTTTTATAAACAGTGCATTTCCTCAATGTCCCCTCCCTCTGCTTTTATTTTTAGAATGGGTCAACTCAAAAAATTGAATTTTGGGATATGGTGACAGATGACACCTTTAAGATAGCCACTGGCTGTCTTGTGACACATCATTTTGAAGCTCCTGACGAATACTTCACAACCCTACAAAATGGCGGAACTTTTGATAATTGCCTATATACTATATAATATGAGGTAATAAGCTTGAGGTTAGTTCAGAAGATGCTCAATATGGCTGCCTTGAACTTTTTGACATATGAACAGCCTATCCGATATTTCACTCAGAACATTTGACACATTACCGTCAATATCTCTACAAATATTCATTATTCTCTGCCGTACATCCAATATTGAAGCAGGGATTCAGTTTCGAACACCTTTTGCTTTAAATAGCCCCATAAAAAAAGTCCAAAGATGTCAAATCTGGCAAGCGAGGTGGCCATTCTGTAGGACCTCGACGGCCAATCCAACGACCACAAAAAGTAGTACCCAAATAGTTTCTTACTTGTCTGGAGTAATGTGGTGTGGCTCCATCTTGTTGGAATACAATATCCAAATCGAATTCATTAGGATTCGCTTCGACGATTTCAGTGATGAAAGGGTCAACAGTAGTTTCCATCATATTTCAATACAGTTCCCCTGTTAAATTTTGATCAATAAATAGAGGTCCTACAATAAGGTTTCCCAATATTCCTGTCCAAACGTTAATTTTTTCTGGATATTGGGTATTTGTTTCCCGGAAAACGTGATGTTCATTGTTGTACATGAAACCCCTTACGATAACCTCAACCTTCCATATGATTTAACACTCCGAACACGATAAATATACGTTATTCAGTAATAATTGAATTTGAAATTACACAACTGATATCACTGGATGTTATAATTCACTCAACTCACTGTCTGAAAATGTTGCACAATCGAGCATTTCGTCCGAATGAAACGTTCTTTATATTCTGCAACCTGCAATTAAAGCACCTCGCGTTTTTTTTGTAGGGGAGAAAGGAGTAATGCAGTATATATCATGGGCATCTTTCGTGAAATAACAGTATCAATACACTCGCGCCAGCATTTTTTTCAATGGACGAAGTAGTTCTGATATGTTCTTGAGCTCACTTGGCGATTCGGTTTGGTTTTCGTCTCCTCAATCAACGCAAAACGCCGTCCTTTCAAGGGTCTCTTCAATCTTGGGAACAAAAAAAAGTCGCAAGGGAGGAAATCTGGTGAATATGGTGGCTGAGGCACCTTATATCATATACCTTGATCAACTTTTAGTGCCATTTTTTCAAGCACTTCGATAACTTTCTCACCAGTAGAACCTTCGCCAATCAGGATCAAGCAAAAACAGTATTCGTCGACTTCATCGAATCCCGAGCACACACTTTTTATTCTGACGGAGTTAATCGACTGTTGTTACGTTGGCAACAGTTTATTGTAGACTCATAAGAACGGACAAAACTTTTTAAACAACCTAATACATTCTCTATGTATGTTCTAGACATGCAAATGTCACATTACTGGTTTGGGACAAAAATACAGACTTTGTGTCATTTCAATAGTGTTTACACAAATACTGTCATTTTTTGAAAGAATAGGCAACTCTGTTCACTTGAAACAAATTCTCGCAGGACGCAAACGCAAATCGCAACAGCTTTGCCAGATGTAGAGAAATATCTTCAACTTTGTGATGTTCCTTGGAGGAATACTAAAATAACTACTGATATGGAAGTCAATTAAATGAAGAATAGCAGCTGATATAGACCTCAGCCATTTTGATTTTCGTTTCTGTGATTTCCTCCCGCAAAGTACATGCATATACCGTTTCACTTTGAAAAGTATGTTAATTTACACATATACTTCAGAAATATTTCAATCTTGAATATTTGAAATCTTTGAAGAAAAAAAGTAAGGTGAAACATAATTAGTTATCTGAAGTGGACCCTATTTAATTATTCTGGATCTTTTTTATTGATCCACATGTATAATTTACTCAAAATTTTACTTATTAGTTGCGTTCTTTTCGCATTATTCTTCACAAATCGAGTCATTCCTGTGAAACAAATGTTCGCTAGGTGTCTTTTCTAGATACTGTTTGATTTCATTGATTGAATACATCCATAGACATTCTGTCGAACCGCTCGAATTGCCGTAAGTCGGCTTCAAACTGAATTCCAATATAAACGAGTTTCAATTCAACTGAGGCTCGCATAGTTCTCAAAACAAAAATTCACTAGATCTCCAGTATTTGAGATTAAAAAAACGATATTCAATTCAATTGCCTAAGAAATTGAATTATCATCTGGCTAAACTGGCAACGCTGGCCTGCAGTGCTATCGATTAAATAGGAAGGTCATGATAAGATTGAGTGTGTTTGATATTTTGTGTATGCACTATTTTGAGAATAATAAGTATTATGAAATCGTCTATATTTCATATTTGAACCAAATTGTGGCCAAACTGAATTATTTTTAAGAAATTTTGCACAATAGTACTCATTATTATTGGGAAAATATTCAGTGCTCTTTTGAGGTTATTATGGTGTTCGAGAAGGTGACACATGTTATTTTCGATTTGGATGGTCTCCTAATTGGTGAGTTTTATACAGAAGTTCAGTTGGAATTATTGGAGGGATTGATAAAAATAAGCAATTTCAATTATTGATGGTGCCTTGATTTGTCTCTATAATTACTACTCGATTACTAAACTAGGTATATAAACCATCGATCTTCTGAAGAATGGCTCAGTGTTGCCAGATATCTGAACTCTCTAGACAATGTCTTATCCTAAAATATTCAACAATGCTGACTCCAGTTGTACTTTCTTTTTTAAACTAGAACAGATGAAGGAAAGTTACGAAATGGTATTTGAGACCACTAATCCCACTTGATGTGCAAACTCATGAGAAACTGATACTTTTGATAATTGCTTCGTTTGTCTTACATGAATTTCAAGTTTGAATCAATCTGTTACACCGGAACCCATAGAGCGAGAACAAACGCTACAGTACTCATAATTGGCCTTCTTCCTCTAGCCACTCGTGGGGCCTTTTGAGCATCGTGAAGTAACAAAAGAATCCAAACTTGTGCCTGCAGAGAAAATGGACGTCGAGTCAACGATCCCACTGTCCTCCCTTGAATATCAGATTATGAGTAAGAGCTTCTTGGTGCTTCAGCTCTTGAGCCTAGGAGACTATAGAGGCTGAAGCCAAGAAACAATGTATGGTCTCCTCACCTTATGAATCTGTTTGCACCAAATTCTTCAGCAGAAGAAGCAGAATCTCCATTAGGAGTGGAAATGAACTGCCTCTGAACAGATCAGCAAATCCATGCACTCAAACGTCGATTAACCCAAAGCGAAAAAGCTCTACATGGCTGACTAATGTGTCATCAGAAATAGCTGACTCACAGGTGTTCTCATATGGAAAGGTAGCCGTAGCCATTAAGATGTTATTCTTGCACCTTGAGCATCTAACAACCTCAACATTGACTAATCAACAGCAGTTTATTCAGTATGCCATGATAGCTGCCATAGAGTATGATCTAGAAGATGGTCCAGAGTTGCACATTCCAGCCTGGATGGCTACAGGTTGCCTGAGAGAATCAAGAATGCGTCTCCTGGCGTCTTCCTGAAATTCGATCCACCACCCAAATCCAACATTCGCGTTGCTTTCCTACCAGACAAAAATAGACACAGACTAACCACCAAGATTAAGGAAAATGTACCTTTGTCTATCAACCTGATGATAATCTGTTCATTTGTAAAAAATAAGAATTCATTGGCAGAGACATTCAGTTCCAAACTGACGTAAAACAACTAATATTTCACTTGTCAAATCAATAAACTCCAAAAAGCTATGTAACGTGGATATTTGCCCTTCTATATGGAAAGTGTGAAACAGACTAACTTGTTTTCATTCAATCACATTGTTTGGTAAATACATGACGTCGAAATTAATGAAAACTATCAAAAAGGGCCAGCCTGAAAGCTGACAGTATCACCGCTGAATCTTACTTATGCTGTCGCTATCACCCACATTTATTTTGTGAAACAGTTGAAATGTCCATCTAGAACATGTGTAATACATAATACAGGTTCAATTGAGCTGCTGTGTTTGATTTTTGTGAATTTTATTTTTTTGTAAAGTAAAAGAGAGCGAATATGGATTGCTTTCATTAAATATTGAAAAGTAGCACTCTTGATGCTGGGAAGATACATAATCATAAGCCGACTCGCTCAATAGGTGAATCGAGAATATGATAACGTTGTCAGATATCAATAATTGTTCCTTGGGGGTATCAATTTTTCTTCAGGTGTCTCATAAGTTGAACAAAAAATATATATCCGAGTTTTTATCAAATTCTTTGAATCTAAAGAATATTTTGTATCTGGCACCACTGGAAAACTAGTACTGAGGAGCAAACATTAAAGAGAGAGAGAGAGAAACAAGATTTGTTTTCAAATTCACCTATAACATCTGTCATTCATTAAAATTGTATCCACTGCCGCTGTTCTCTAACGTCAGAGATATTTTGTGTTTTAGTACTTTTGGTTTTTTTGTATTAGTATATCTGAATTTCATGGATGACAGAAATGTGAATATAACCAGCCACTCTTCTTAAATGGTGTTCGAACGTATTCGGTTGGAACAACGATATTTACACTTGCGCCATCAATAAAATACCCGATAAATTACACAATTTCAAATCCGACATGAAAAAATCTATTATCGGTTCACTCTTTCCTGGTAACCAAGGCCAATGAAGAATGAAAAGAGTAGAAGAAGATTAGATCAGTCGATTCCTTTTTTAGACCAGTCGAGTTCTTGATTTCAACAGAAATATTGAGATAGATTGCCTCAACCAATAGAAAACCGCTAACGTTTGTCCATCGGATCAATTGGTGAAGAACTCGTCTATGATTTTCATGAAGCTTTACACATGCGCTCTGCAATTGATTCTTCTAGGAGTTGTAGCATTTCCTACTCAAAAACAATGCACATCTCGTGTAACTTAGCATTTTATTGATAGTGAGATTGAAAAAGACAAAAAATCTTCTAACGTGAATTTATAAACGTCAGCTTATACTTTAATCAACTCAACTCACAAAAATATAAGGTCATTATTTTCGTGTGTAACTTTGTCAGTAACTAACCCTAAGGTTGTTCAATTTTATCAAAAAAACTACAATTTCATGGTTGGTAACCATAATATATGACATTTTTTTCGAGTAAGATGTCTATACACTGGTGGTTGCGCTTTTGATTCAGAAATTGTTGAAGATCAAGTGAGGTTCTCAGTTCTGAGGTTGCCGCAAGATGGTGCTAATAGTCAATATTCCTATTTATTATAGTCAATTGATCCTTGATAAATGATGTTGCCAAAACTATTTTATTTTTCGTTGACATATTATGAATGTCAGATTTGAAAAATTACCTTGTTCGCTATTTTGATAGTTTATTGATTATTGAGTGAAAGAGTTGATACTGTTTTTTGTGTTGGTGTTCCAATAGTGATGATTCAAATATAACTTCATATATGGTATCTAAGAAGAGGAAAACTTGTTAAATATTCAAGAAACAATATGTACCATGAAGAACCTAACCTGTGACGTAAAAGAGAAATATGCATTTCAATATTATTGAAAGAGCAATTTAAGTTTGTAAATCAAAATATAAAAACAAAGTGTAGGTATGTGTAATTTCTCAAAAAACCAAACGTATTTGATGTCTCAGTATTGGCCAATCTAAATAGGATAAAATAATAAGTGCATTTTGTTTCCATTAATTTTTGAGTAATTTCCGTCAGAAATTATTTGCTGTCTCTTACTCGATTTCATATTTTGATCGAACAGAGAAAGCGAATAACTTTTGGCAGGACTGACTGACTTTAAATAGATAAAAGAACAGAGGGCACCCACTAGAGAAGATACAAATATTTTGATTTCAGTCCAATAGGTTAATAGAAAAGCAAACGTGTTTACTCATCGTGATATAAATATTTCCATTCCTTTTCAATATTTCCACATAAAAATAAAATTTGTTCTCAACACACACGGAATGCTAAACATAGACTCGATAATAAACGTCCTTTATAAATCTAGATCCTTATAGATTCACAAACGTAATTCAACGAAGCCGGAGAACTCTCATGCAATTGCATGCATAACCTAAAATAATATTTCATGTCAAAATTCGCAACACTGTACGGTCACGGAATCTAGCGGTTTTTTTGAAAAAGCGGCCCCCGTGAATAAAATCAAGTGTGGTCGATAGATTTTCATAGAAGTTTCATAGGAATGGTATATTCACATTGACAAATAACGAAGTTGGGATATGGAATATAAAATGAAATTATAAAGTAGTTAGTGATGAATTTTATGAGAGTGACCCAAAATCGTAAAATGGGTTTACTTTTCATGAATTTTATTCAATTCTTCATTGAAAGGTTGGGTAGTATTAAGTTGTTTCAAAAGTTTTGTCCGTTTTTTATGAGTGTACTTTAAACTGTAATATCTCAATGAATACCAATCGAAATAAGAGTCATTTGAATCAATGCATGGTTAATTCCGTCATCTGAATCCGTCTTAGTTAATTCCGTGATGGTTTGGCCCGGTTGCAGAAAGTTGTAGTGATTCATATCAGTCACTGACCACCATACAGTACCCATGGTCTTTTTTTTGGTGAGTTATTGCCGTCATAGGTATCCAACCACTGTCCCAAACGTAGAGGGTCCACTTTTCATCACGATCCGATCCAAAAAAGGATCGTTTTGGTTACGCAAAAGCAAAAAAAACAGACCTCGAAACGTGACAATTTCTGCCGATCGTTCAATCCGTGGGGCACCCACCTTTCGAAGTTTCTTACTTTTCCAATACGTTTAAAACCATCAAAAACCACATGGGAGCTGACGCCCAGTTCTTCCGCCATCCCACGCATCGTTTGTGATGGGTCAGCCCCCATTAGGGTCCCCCAATTCTTGCCTTGGATTACTGTAGCTCATCTTCGAGGCTAAAATTGCCGAAACCACTGAACTCGATGTTCACCGTCTGATATCAAAATAGTTCTGACAATGTTGATTCTGTTAATTGTCTATATCTGATGTAATCTCGATTTTCATTCTCGCGCACTTTTGATGGCCTTGAAGTTTCACCAAAATAATTTTTACCGCAAGAACAAGGTATCTCATAAATGTAATATTTTGTTTTTTCTTCTGTGTTGTTGGGCTTTGTATGTGTGAGTATAGATCTCACTGTATTTTTTGTTCTGTAAGAAGTTCTAGCATCATATCTATTTCTAATTCGTATTATCTTTTCAGACGGTCTTAGAATGTGAGGTGTAACGTTAGTTATGAAAAGTGTCGGTGGATGTTGAGTCGGTAATTGTTTAGTTGGAGGTTGTTGAATTTGCGATGCTGTTCGTGGGGTCATTTGGTGTTCAATTGACTCTCTATTTTCTATTGCATTTATCGCTAAATTTATGAACGAATCTGGATAAGCATTCTCTTTCAGAACATATTTCATTAATGATACTTCTTTATTAAAATTTTCAGTTGAATTGCATATCGTTTTTGTTATAAGACTATTACATGTTTACGATCAACTTGATTACATATTTTAACAAACAATTTTGACATTCAATACATATTTCACTTGTGGATTTGATGATGTAAATATATTAGTTCAACAATGGTGATGGACTTAGCAAGTAAAAAACAAATTTCCTTATACTTTACTATATATAACTTCAAGTCGTATTTTTTTAGAGTCTGAATCGATATATGAACAAATATCCAAGGAAATCGCTAATGAATATGGAAAAGATTACACCAGACAACTCAAAATTAAGGTTATGGGCACTACTGAGCCGGAGACTGCAAGACTAATCGTAACAGAGCTGCAACTGCCTCTGAGCCCTCAAGAATTTCTTGTGAAGTATGAAAGAAAAGTCAAAGAAAAACTCCAACATCCAAGACTGATGCCTGGTGCCAAGGAATTAGTCGAGCACTTGCACAGGTGTGGGATTCCCATAGCAGTCGCTACATCGTCTCGAGAGGATCTTATGGAAATGAAGATGCAATTCCACCAAGATCTCTACAAAATGTTCAACCATTTCGTCTGCGGAAGCTCAGATCCGGAAGTAAAAAATGGAAAACCTTCTCCAGATATTTACTTGGTTTGCGCATCGAGGTTCCCTGATAAGCCCGATCCTTCAAAAGTGAGTTTTTGATCGATGATATTCCATCTGTATAGTCTGTTTTGTTGAGCAGCATTTAACATTTAATGTTGTATGATTTCATTCAACAAATTGCTTGTTCGTATCGGGTAATTTTTTTGCCAATAACACCACTGTGTGGTGTTATTGGTGTGTCTGTTGATGGAAACTACAAAGCGATTGGAGGAACTGTACATTAATTTTATTTTGAGGAAGAAATGCGGACCGTCTACAAATTAATTGGAGCGTTGAGAGAAGACCAAAGTATGTCTCCAATGATCAGTAGAAAGATCATTTGCTGGAGGTTACAAAAGTGTACAGTAAGGCAGACAAAAGAGTTTCGATGTGAGAATTGAAAGTGTTGTTGGACGAATATTGACTTAACGAAGATAATACCGTTATAGTTATTTTCCAAAATCTACCTGTACTGCCACAATCAATCATTCATCTAATCAAGTTCTTCAATTACCCACTGTTATATAAGCAGGGATAGTTATCATCATTATCATGCATACGAGTACTCATACATTCATTGAGAATGTTAAGATAGTTGAGGAAACACTTGCTACATGAATAGCATTTTACAAGTGTTGTTCATGACGAAGAATTTCAAGTACGAGGTTTTATTGATGAACAAGAACGAGAATGTTTCCTACATATTCATCAAACTCAAATAACTGTTTGTGCAGCTGCAGTTCCGTAAGAATGTGTCACCTTTCCCTCCAACCGATTTCCTGGAGGCTTTGAAATCTACTAGATACTCGTGAGGACAACAAGAGGATTATTCCGAATTCTTGGGGTTCTTGTTGAATACTCTTCGTGAGTAAAACAATAGCAGAATCAATACTCCTGACCGCTCTGGACTGAATAATTCCGTACAGCCCATCTCGTCTTGTGTTTGTAAATCTTTTGCTGAAAAAATCCTCACTTGTTTACTTTGTGGTAAATGTTCAAGAAGTACCGAAAACTTATGTGAATTTCTGGAACTTCATCTAGCTTTTCCTAACATGACTAATAACCAGTCCGTGCAAAGCTTATTGTCAAATCATCTGAAAATGGAACTTTTAACAGATGATGAGCGAATGTATTACCAATCATTCGCCAAACTAACTGACTGTTTTAAGAAAAGAGGTATAGCTGAGGCACCAGTCAATCTAATAATAACACTGATGATCTTCAAACATGACTCAACCTCTGACGGAAGCACCGAACTCTTTGGAAGGTTCGAAATAGATGAACATTTCAATCTAGCAGACCACTATTATAATATTCACGCAGTCATTGTTCACTGTGGTTCTGGCGTTGAATCTGGTCATGATCACGCCCTGGTCAAAGACGAAACGGACTGGTTTAATTATGTGCGCCAAATCAAAGACCGAGGGTCGAATAGCTAGTATTTACCCTCTGATCAACAGAAAATCTAAAATGAGCCCAAAGAATGAAATCACCAACTACAATACGATGTTCAAGCAGGTATAGCTGAGGCACCAGTCAATCTAATAATAACACTGATGATCTTCAAACATGACTCAACCTCTGACGGAAGCACCGAACTCTTTGGAAGGTTTGAAATAGATGAACGTTTCAATCTAGCAGACCACTATTATAATATTCACGCAGTCATTGTTCACTGTGGTTCTGGCGTTGAATCTGGTCATGATTACGCCCTGGTCAAAGACGAAACGAACTGGTTTAATTATGTGCGCCAAATCAAAGATCGAGGGTCGAATAGCTAGTATTTACCCTCTGATCAACAGAAAATCTAAAATGAGCCCAAAGAATGAAATCACCAACTACAATACGATGTTCAAGCCTGTCATCAGGTATGCTTCAGGCGTCTGGGGACAAGCGGCAAAGTATAATATCTCTACTCTGGAGATATTGCAAAATAAGCTAATGAGGATGATTGTGAAAGCTCCTTGGTTCGTGCTGAATGGAGCCATCCGCAGAGATTTGAATCCTTCCATTCGGCAGTCCATTCAGTCGAGGAATCGGCGAGTTTTTGAAGGTGCGGAAACTCACGAAAATCCGTTAGTTAGGGAAGCTATAGATTATGATGTAGACGACCCCTCCCGGTATAGAAGGCCCCGACACTCTGTTGAATGAGGCCCCTATGTCCCCCGTTAAAGGACGAATAGATTTTTCATCCATCCCACCCCAGCCAGGTAGGGGTACCCCCGTGAAGGGCGGTACTGATGTCTGAGGACTTCATACCGCCGATATCCCTTCAGTCATGAACCCATTTGTCCTTCTTTGACAAAAATCAGGCAAAAGGGTAAGGGAGCTGGGATCCAACTTGTTTGAAATCAAGACGATTCGGTGTACTGGTTCAAGTTTGACGATAGTCGTGTCACTAAGTGTTCTGGCGATGCAGTGAATTTAGTGGAGCCTCTGGAGACACCCTACATTTTGTTTTATGAGAGAGAGAGGATATTGGCAGATCATGATCTTCAGATGATGTGGTGCTGCAGGTTTTTCCGGGGTTTCCAGCAGCTGAAAGAGCAAATGCGCCACTGGAATCAAAGTCGCCCCGGAGCGCCAATCAATTTTGGTTATTGTTTTATAATTTCATGATTTGTATTTTAGAATTATTAACAGTTTTAAATTCCATATATTTCCTCTGATACACATATTTCATATCACTGAATTATCTGTCATATTATTTTTCAGTGTTTGGCATTCGAAGACGCTGCGAATGGAGTAAAGTCTGCTGTTGGTGCTGGTATGCAAGTTGTGATGGTACCCGATCCAGATACTCCAGAGGAGAAAAGGAAATCAGCGACCCTGGTATTGGAGTCGCTTACAGAGTTCAAGCCAGAACAGTTTGGCTTGCCGGCAATGACCTGATTTTTCAGATACATTAGATTTTGAATAAATTAATTTTTATCGAATATCTCAATAGTGAGTGGTATTTTTGAAATCGTAACATTCAAGAGCACATTTCGTACTACAGGAAAATGTTAAAGATACTAGGCTGTTCATTTTCCTACAGCAGTTAAAAAGTGTAAGTTCCAGAGCGTCCTAAATTTATCTTAGTACCTATGTAATTTTTTTGTAGTGCAAGAAATAGGTGGTCGATTGTTTTTTCATTGAAAATATTTACTTGAATGAATTATACCTTAATTTCAACCAGCAACCCGCAAGGGTTTATTGTGGCTCACACCTATTCATTCGACCAAATAAACCCAGCTTCCTAATGAAGCCGATTAGTTTGTATGGTGAGTGGTCTTTTAGGTCAGATGGTAAAAGTACAGCTCTGACGAACATGATTCATATAAAATGGTTCAATTTTAGTCCCGACAAAACTAACGCTATAAATACCCATCATTCGCAGTTACTTTCTTACATTGGTGGAGAGGCCAAGGAAAATGTCTACCACGCGGACGTCCTGGGTTCGATTCTCATAACTATGAACTTTCTTTATGACGTCACGAAACAAAAATGTGTTGAGCGAAAAGTTGTGCTGAATTATTTATTCCACAGAAGATTCAAATCTCCCGCCACAATGTTCTGAGATGCAAAAGCGTGTGCTCTAATTGAATGGCGAGTTGCGTGACAGTTTGAGGACGCAACGTGACAATTTGATACACTCTGATTGGTTCACCGCTGGGTGACAGGACACCACGTGATAATTTGGTTGACTGGATGGTCTGTCTGCCTTGCGAGCTGAGAAGCAACCTGGCTGGTGTGATGACGTCACCGCCTGCCGTCTGTCTCGCTCAATCCGGGAGACCTCAGAGAGTCCGACTCTCTACATATGATGATTCAAATGACCTGTAAGAAGGCCTTTTCATCCCTACTTAGTCCAACAACTGTTTGAATAGAGCTTCGAAGGGTGCATAAACGCCTTGGAGTAAGCCAATCCTGGAAGATTCTGCCAGAAGTCCATAAATCTTCTTGCCATCCAGGTGTTCAAAGCCTAAAGCGATGCCGATAACAGGACCGATGAAGCTGGTTGCAGCACCCTCCTTTGCAAGGGAGTCAGCAGCCTTATTGCCTTCAAGACCAGTGTAGCCAAGATCCGGACCAGACACAATCTATTAAGTCTTCTTATCGAGGAGAGTTGTTTTCAGCAATTTACTACCAATTTAGACGTTGCTTGGTAGAGGCCAAGAGCCTCCAACACCGCTTGACTGTCCAAGAATATTTTTATTGACTCCGCACACATTTCAATGGCATAAATTTCCGCTTGAAATAGAATCGCATAGGTTCCTAGGCAGGTTGATATCTCTGTCCTGTGTCTGCGACTGAAAAATCTGCACCAGAACCGGAAGGTGTTTTTGATCCATCTGTGAACCAACAACTATCTGCTCTTAATATTTCCTTCTCCCAGAGGATCCAGTCCCCTCTACTCTGGAACAGTACTTTATAAGGCAATTCGTAGGCATAAAGTCTGAGGTCATTTCAAGAATGCTGTGACTTCCAACATTCTGCTGCACTCTGCATTAAATTGATTTGTGCCATTGGTGAATATTTCGAAATCAGTAGGTATCTCCTGTATATCAAAAAATTAAAACAAAGAAATATACCATGTGAATTGTTATTTTTCAAAAAGGTTGCTTGATTTTTCTAATTTCATTCAACATATTCCAATGAGGTCTTCTGTTCAAATAACTAGTTACTTTTCATGCCGCTGAGGGAAAACGAACTATTTCTCACATAAATCCGTTCCTAACTTCAATATTTTTTACATTCACGATATTTTCTATTACAGTCCTTGTCCTTATATCGATTTCAAACATATTACCGTTCTCAAAACATGCATTCAACATTATTTGACGGACAAAATATCGATAATGATTTGATTTAAAAAATTCAGTTCAGGGAATTTTGAATACCGCAAAGATAATCAATACAATTAGTATTCAATTTTCTCTTGCTTCATAAGGGGTTTTTCAGTTACAAATAGGTAAGTGTGACTAGCCTTGACTTTAGATTCAACCATGACCACAGCGCTTATCCACCGTGAAATTGTAGAGGCCAATAATGTTTTCAGTCTTTCTGAATTCCTTTGTTTATTCTCTACAGGGCGGTATCATGCTCGAGTTGAGGAAATGGGGTAAACGATCTATAATCTAGATTATGACAGGAAATAAAAAAAAAACCTAATGATGAGAAGGAGAAAGAAGTGTATATTAACAGAGAAAACTCGATATAGTGAGATAGTTGTCAAGAACCCTTCTTGACAAATACAAGTAGTGTGTCTCAGCTAAAACTTATCTTTAAAATGGTCAAAAAAAACTGAAAATCTTTCATATCCATCAATTTCCATTGCTAGGAAAAACGCCTTCATCAAAGAAGTCATTAATGTGCTACCAACTTCCTTATCTCCCCAACAACTTCCACTTCAGAATCTCCAGTAGGACTACCAAACGTGTGATACATCATTTTGAAAATAACTCAATGGCAAACACATCTGTATAAGGCAGTTACTACGAAGTGTTGCGGAAAATCTATGAAGAATAAATTGAACAAAATATATTTTTCCCCTTACCTCATTTTTCATGCCATTCATCTACATTTATTCTGCATAAATTATCAAGATGATCTGGCCCAAAAGTTTGTTGGCCAATCTAACCGGAATATCATAACCCGTTTCACATATTCAGTTTCGTCAACTAGATGAATCTAGAGTTGCTCAAAATGCTTTAGAGAAAGGCCACAGAATGGGTGAGATCTATTCCAAACAGCCTTTGCCTTTTCTTTTACGTAATGATTAATAGCAATTGAGTTACAATAATGAGCTAACACCTACAATGATCCTCATTAACCAAGTAAACGTCTATTTGTATGGATATAAAATGCTGAAATGCCCCAAATCGGAACGGCCAATCAGCCTTACATCCTTCCTGCTGAAAGGACTTGAGAGGATACTGGACGAACATATCAGGAGGGTAGCATTATATGCATCCCCACTGAATAACCACCAGTATGCTTATCAAACCGGCAAATCGACAGATTCAACATTAAACAACCTCGTTGAGAAAATCTCCCAATCCCCTGACAACAAAGAGATTGCGGTTGCTGTATTTCTTGATATTGAAGGAGCATTTGACAATGCACTACCTAAATCTATAGGATTGTGTCTGGCTAGAGAGGGTATAGAATCGACCATAACTCGCTGGATCTATGCCATGCTAGTAAACAGAACTGCAACTACGACTCTTCAAGGCGAGGCTATCAGGTTCAGGGTCACCAGGGGCTGCCCTCAAGGTGAGGCACTATCTCCCCTTCTGTGGTCGCTCCTGGTGGATAGTCTGCTTGATGCTCTCGACAGAAGAAAAGTCGATCTGCAAGCTTATGCAGATGACCTACTCATCCTGGCAAGGTCCACGTCGGAAAGACTAGTTTGTAATATCCTCCAAAGCGCGTTGGACGTTGTTCACAGTTGGTGCCTGAGGGAGCAGATGTCTGTCAACCCTAGCAGAACTGTGTTAATCCCCCTTACCAAGAGAAGGAAATTGAACGATCTAACACCACTTTTCCTCAATGGTGTGGTCATTCCAATTGGAACGGAAGTGAAATATCTTGGCATTGTCCTTGATGAAAGACTCACCTGGAACGCTCACTTGGAAAGAGTTTCACACAAAGCCAGACTGTATTTATGGACATGTCGAAGGATTTGTGGTAAAACTTAGGGTTTAGGTCCCAAACAAATTCATTGGATTTATGTGATGATTGTCAGACCAATGATCACGTATGGTGCAATTGCTTGGTGGCTGAAGGCTTTACAGAAAACGGCCCAAGCGAAGCTCTCTGGCTTACAGAGACAGGCTTGTCTGGCAATCAGTGGTGCCATCAGTACCACACCGTCAGCGGCCATGGAGATTCTTCTAGATCTACCCCCTCTCCACACTTTTCTGGAAATGTAGGCTAGATGGACTGCATACAGACTTGTGCACATTACCAATTGCACAAATCAATTCAGTGCAGGGTGCAACAGAGTGTTGGTTGACATTGGAAGTCGCAGCATTCTGGAAATGACCTCTCACTTTATGCCTCCAACTGTCAACTGCCTTATAAAGTACTATTCCCGAGTAGAGTACCTATCTTAGATATACAACCTCCTGCATCCGCAGCCGATGTTCTGAAATCCAAATGGAATGAGGAGAGAAGTGTGCTGTCGTCAGCAAAGCAATATATTGGATTCTTGTTTTTTTTCCAAGTCATCTATATACAATAAGTAGAGGGTTGAAGACAAGGATCCCTGGGGAACACCAGTGTTGATGGTAAAAGCAATCGAGAGATATCCATTGACGATCACTTGCAGGAAACGTTCTTTCAGGAAGCTGGAGAGTCATGCACAAAAATGATCTAACATCTAACCTTTAAATTAAAATCATTGTTTTTGCTGCTCACTCGTATGATGGAAAAAATTCGACAAGACCTTAAGTTTTCCCAAAAAGGTTCTGATATCTGCTTTGTTTCGTTTTCATTCAGCCACCTGTATATGTACGTACTTCCATTCGATACTTAAACAGCTCTTATCAATATAATAACTCTTATCAGTATAATCTCAAAGAAACCTTTGAATTTTTTGCTCGTTTTCAATCTCCAAACACTCTCATTCGGTCCTCAAACAACTCTTATCAGTATAATCTCAAAGAAACCACTGAATTTTTCACACGTTTTCGATCGCCGAATAATTCAACGCAAACAATTGGAAAACGACGACCTGGCGATACAATACAGTGGGCGTGTTTCCTATTGATTTGGTCTACATACGATTCACTACAAACTCGCCCTGCTCCATGAACTACTGAAAACAATTCAAACAATCAAATTCAAGTAACTTACTCGTCTCTCTCCTCATCACAAAAAGACATTGCTGTGGAAGTAGGAACTTGAATGAAATTAACACAGACCAGACACGTACACCAGAAAACGGGAACAAACTTGAAGATAGGAAAACTCAAACGTTCACCAGTCACTAACGAAAATTATAAAAAGGGTGCGTCGCGATGCCTGCACTACTGGATCGACCACACTAAACTGAGGGCGTCTCGAGACTGTTTGATTGGCTCTCGGTTTATCCTGATACGGACGAAGCAGGATGAACGCAGGAGCGATCCGCAGAGATCTTGGACTTGTTTCTAGCATGTACAGTGCGGATGTGAGAAATGCCTTCG